TCATTTTAAACAGATATTCAAATTACAAACAAAAAAAGCGCCTATTTTAACTATTTTACTTGCCTATTATACGTGCGTCTGTGTGCGCACGTGCGCATGTGCGAACCCCCAAGCACCTTAGTTTCGTTTTTGTATCTATTTATATATTTTCTTTTCTTTTCTTGTTTTTCTTTTAAAATTTTTATTCCCGCTTTATGGTATCCGTTTAAACAAACACATGTTGTGTATAGGTTATATCCTTTTCAATGAATTATACATACGACAGTGAATGATGATGACGACGACGACAACAACAACAACGATGATGATGACGATATGTGCCACCTAATCATCATATTATAGATATACCCCCCCCTCCATCGATCAGAGAATAACCGGTTAAAAAAAGGTTTGTTTCATAGATTTTCGGTTGTTTTGAATATTGACCAGAAATCATAAATAGATCAGTTTTATTGAAATTTTTTGTTTATTCTATATCATTTGTTTTTATCTTAATCATTATTAGATTCATTACAAATAGTTTCTATGGTATACATGGCAATATACCTTAATGATCATTTGTATATTTTGACTTTTCTTTATTATTATTTAAAGCATGAATTTTAATTGTTGAATAGATGAACAAGGATAGTTTTTTTTTGGTTGTTGTTGATTATATTATCTTACAATTCTGTGCAAATATGAAACCTTTCTTCCCCCCTTTGGATATATCCTGTTGCTAAGCTGCTCTATACACACCGGTATCACATGTAATAATAATAATAATAATTTGCAGTGTTGTTTCTTCTAATCTAACGAAATCAATGTATCAGATTTATTTATTTGTATATTCATTTTATTCTAGATAATAATAATGATGTGTATTGGTTGCCATGATATGTTCATTTAAAAAAAAAAAACAAACAAACCACAACAAACAATTTTACTTTCTATGTGTTTATTTTACTTGTCATCATGATTGTTTCAAAAGTTAACAGATTTATTTGTCAATATATAAAAAGAGGTAGTTCATGATAAATTCAATTGCCTTTTTATTGTGCGCCATGTTTTTCTGTCACTCATACTGTGTGTGTGTGTGTGTGTCCGTCCCCGTCCATGCCCCTCCCCTCTTGTGTATGAGGTTCAAGTCTTTTCACTACATTGTCGCTGTTGTTTGTTTGTTTTTTTTTCCGCTAGAAAACAACAGGTTGCCAGTTTCTATGGTGACCATTGATTAATTGTTTGTTTGTTTTTTTATTTTTCTCCTATCCTATTTGCATCATTCAATTTTCTTGCCTTATTATTATATTATCATTATTTTTGTGTTGACATATTTTTTTTTCTTAAGATTCATTGTTATTAAATGCTATTGTTGTTAACAATAAAAGTCAATATCATGTAGTTACTGATATTTTAATCATATTTTCTGAGGAAAAAAAAAGTTGAACAGAACAATTAAGAAAGGTAGTAGTGGAAGATCTTGACTTCAACCATTATATAGTACGCAGTCCGTTATTTTTTTTCGCAATTGCCATTTTGGCTACTCATAAGTAGCTGATATTTTTATGTAAAATAAACAGTTGGACAGTGGCTAGCAGAGGGATAAAGGACACGCGTTGATGTTTATTCCGAGACTGGAATTCAGTACTGTTCTCTTCGAACGCTATCACGTTATCCACTTAGCTACTGATTCGTCCGGAATTCTACTCCTATCCACTATCCATCTTTTCTTATAATGTTTATGAATTATGGCTATACGCACAGTATGCATATATGTTAATAGAAACTGATCAATTGTAGTCCCAAACATCAATGGAAAGTTTCAAGTAAACAATACCAAGTGAATTTAAAATAAAAAGTATATGGATAAACATAGTCAAGATCGATATTGGAAAGTAATAATGCATAGATTATTTAAATGTAATGAAATTAAATGGTTAAGTTACTACCCAACATGATAAAATAAACAAACATCCTAACATCACTAAGGTTATATAACAGATGAATATGAGAAGCAAGAAGAACAATAAAAGGTTGGGGACAGGGTTGCAAAAAAAAAGATGTTTAAAATTAAAAAAGGTTATTAGACAAATATCTAATCACCATGGCAGGAGAAAGTTGATGAAGCTTTCCTTCTGTATACATAGATCAGTTTATGAATGTCTCATAGCCAATTGCCTTTGCAAAATAGAGTAAGATTGGTATTTTTTGTCTGTTGATTATTTTGAATGTATCACTTATATTTAGTTCATGTCCATCATCCAAAAAAAATGTCTGGCAATTGCGCTTCTAATGACTTTATTATCTTTCAACTGTATGTTCCTAGGTATTACTTACTTACGCCTGTTACTCCTAATGGAGCATAGGCCGCCGACAAGCATTCTCTAACCCACTCTGTCCTGGGCCTTCTTTTTTATTTCCATCCAATTCTTGTTCATTTTTCTCATATCTATCTCCATGTTTCTAGGTATGTGTTTAGAAAAATTAGTAGAGGCTTTTCTCTATATCCTTTCTACATAATTGTCATCATAGATACACATGAATTCATAGAAGGATATTGATCTGTCTTTGAATAGTATAATGAACATCTGATGTTATATAACAGTGAAACCAGTTAAACAGCAAGGAAGATTTTTTCATTGCTATCTTGACTCTTCCTGAAACCTCATCTCCTTTGAACGGAAAGCGGATGAAGACAGATTTCTTTCCAACAATTGGTTATTCACCATCTTTTGGATATTTTTTCCCTATCTCGTAATAAATCCCTTCGACTATCCAGTTTTTTATAAAGTGCTTTTCCAGAAAAGCCAGTTTCTTACTTATTTTGCCTTTTGAGGATAACGTTCTAGCCACCAAATGCCCTGGTATGCCCGAGAGTGGGGAGAGTCCGCCCTCCCTCTCGAAATGCTCTCACATGGCCACGTGTATACATCCCTTACCAGGGAACTCTTACTCACTGCCTTCTCGTGGCACTACTGTTGTTTACGAAAATGAGAGGACGAAAAGAGAATGTCTGGCGCTATAACCGGACCCCAAACCAATGGTGCACATGGGCTGGCTCCAGTATCCTGCGGGAACAAATGGCGTATGAACCAATTTCTTGGTTACCGGCTTTCATGGGACTGCATCTCCTCACGATACTCCACCGCCTTGTGGATCAGATCTTCAGGTCAAAGGCTCGGGGTGTGACCCCCTAATAAAACCATCTGTTTCGGTCTGGGCACCCGGGCAGTATCACAGCCCTCACACATACCAAATGAGATCTGTGTGGCGCATATGTATTTGGTGCCTTCTTGTACCGATATATATGTGTTAAAATAAATAATAAATGAAGAGCGTTTTGACTAGACCCCCTATATATATATATATATATATATATATATATATATATATATATACTTTCCTCAAGACTCCCATCATTTTTCTAAAAAATTGGATTGGTTATCTTTTCCATATTTCATTTTAAATGTTATATTGGGATAAGAGTGATTGACTCAGTAACTGAGAAGTATACTCCCTATCATTACAGATAATGAACATAAAGTAGTGCATTATGTTTTGGTTATCTATAAAGACTATCGACCAAGATAGACCCTAGTAGTGATCCCATGACCATTCCATCAGTTTGTTTGTATGGTTAATTGTTGGTTGGCTAACCGCTGAATCAACTTATTGTTATGTCCCGATAAGTATAATGAACTATTACTATACAATTTACCATTCTTGAATTATACCCTGTCTATTAGTCACTAACTCCCTCATTCACAGTCACATTTGGCTAATTCTTGTACAAATGTTGTTTCCTATTTTATGGTACGATCTGATCTGTTTGATTGGTATATAAACCCAGTATGCTTGAAATAAATAATTCATATCGCAGAGGCTAAGGTTGATGTTCTGAACTTGGCTAGGCTAGGCAGGAAGCAGGACCAACAAAAATTCTAGACTGCTCGCACAGATTTTACACATCATAGATCCGATCGATAATTCACTGCTCTCTAATTGGTGGTATATCATCACACTATACATTCATTAACAGGGCACATAGGCTACAATTTATAACACTTATATGATGAGTTCACCATGGAAAATTATAGATCTTAAAGGGAAGTTGTATTTGTGAACTTCAAAAAGACCGTGTATTCAAAGCAGACATGATCCTTTTGCCTTCAGATTGTTTTAAGTTAAATGATTAATTAGCTTCTTCAAAAATTTCTGAAGATGTTTATTGACCTTATTTTCAATTATTGCAATGGTATGCTAAATATTTATTAGTGATGATATCGATCATTTTAATTTTAGGTTGTATACAACTGACCTTAGTTAGATAGCTTCTAGGGGCCAGGAATCCCTGGAAATCGTTGTTTTTCTTTAATGTGGATTTATATTTTTATTTATTTAAACACATAGATATCGGTACAAGAAGGCACCAAATACATATACGCCACACAGATCTCATTTGGTATATGTGAGGGCTGTGATACTGCCCGGGTGCCCAGACCGAAGCAGGTGGTTTTCTTAGGGGGCCACACCCAGGGCCTTTGACCTGAAGATCTGATCCACAAGGCAGTGGAGCATTGTGAGGAGATGCAGTCACATGGTAGCCGGTGACCAACGATTGGTTCATACACCATTTGTTCCCGAAGGATACTGGAGCCAGCCCATGTGCACCATTGGTTTCGGATCCGGTTAAAGCGCCGGAAATTCGCTTTTCGTCCTCTCATTTTCGTAAACAACAGTAATGCGACGAGAAGGCAGTGAGTAGAACTTCCCTGGCAGAGGCTATATACGCATAGCCATGTGAGAGCATTTCGACAGGGACTCTCCCCACTCTCGGCCGTACCACGGCATTTTTTTTTGCCCCCAAATGCCCTGGTACGGGCCCCCAAATGGGATTTGAATAGATAACTGAATCTTTGTGCTAATATATTAGGTATGGCAACTCAAACTGATCTATGTACATACGAAATTTCATATTGTTACTAACTGACTGAAATTGAAATAAAAAAAATGAATAAAACTACAAAGTTAAGATCAATTTATTATTATTCATCTTTTATAGAAAATCATATTCATATTCTAGTTTTCTCATCTATTGAATATGATAATGATATGTATGAAATATAATAATATTTGTAGTTAAACGTGAAATTAATGCATCTACCTCTTCATTACCCAAATATTTATTCCATAAAGAACGTAAATATTGATTAATTTGATGTTCAAATTGACTAGCTGTTTGACAACCAGGTAAAATATATTCTGATTTTTTTGTACAATTTAATGATTCACTTAAATGAAAAAAAAAAAGATAATTAAACAATAACAAGAAGTTTAATGGAAATTGATCTATTGTATAGTTTGTATTATTCATTACAGATTTATTTTAATTAGTACTAGTTTTAGATTACTCAATAATGACTATTTACAAATTCATCACGGGATCGAATCTAGGAACGAAAAGGTGTGGGTTTGAATACCATCTTTATCACAACCTCTGCCCCTAAATGCCGTGGTATGGCCGAGAGTAGGGTGGACCTGCTCACCCTCTCTCCAAATGCTCTCACATGGCCACACGTATATAGCATCTGCCAGAGAAGTCATACTCACTGCCTTCTCGCACCACGGCTGTTGTTTACGAAAATGAGAGGACGAAAAGCATATGTCCGGCGTTTTAACCAGATCCGAAACCAATGGTGCACATGGGCTGGCTCCAGTATCCTGAAGGAACAAATGGCGTATGAACCAACCGTTGGTCACCGACTACCATGGGACTGCATCTCCTCACGATGCTCCACTGCCTTGTGGGTTAGACCTTTAGATCAAACGCCCTGGGTGTGGTCCCCTAAGAAAACCAACTGCTTCGGTTTGGGCACCAAGGCAGTATCAGAGCCCACACACAAATCAGATGAAAATTTGTGTGGTGCATAAATATTTGTTGCCCTCTTGTACTAATATTTATGTGTTCAAATAAAATAAATAAATAAATAATCTAGGACCCTCGGGTTTCAAGGAGAATGCTTAATCACTGCAACTGTTAAGTAGACGTTCAATGGTACAATCGAAAACTCCAATTAATTTTTGAAGTAGTGTGACAATCATTGAATGTCATTGGCGATAAGCGTTTCAGTCATCTGTCCAAACTCAACCAGTTACGATTTCTCACTTCAAAATGCTTTTTTGAATTTCTAGAAAGAATTCGTAGGGTGCCCAACCAGACCGAAGCAGGTGGTTTTCTTAGGAGGCCACATTCGCAGCCTTTGACCACAAGGCAGTGGAGCAACGTCAGACGATACAGTCCCATGGTAGCCGGTAAACAACAGTAGGTTCATACGCCTTTTGTTTCTTCAGGATACTGGAACATATGTACACCATTGGTTTGGAATAAGGGTTTTACAACTCACCTAGGTGGATCCTCTATATTCCACCGACTCGGACATTCGCTTTTCGTCTTCTGAATTTCGTAAACAACAGTAATCCCGCGAGTAGGACTTCCCTGGCAATGGTTGTATGCACGTGGCTGTGTGCGAGTATTTCTAGAGGGAGATCTGACTCTCCCCACTCTCAGATGTACTAGGGCATTCGGGGGCTACTTGTTACAAATAAACATCAATTAAAGTTGCTACATTTTCCTCTAGGATTTAACAATTAAATCAACATCATGTGAATTAAATGAGTCAAAACAGTAACATCAGATATGATAGAAGAACGAATAAAAGACATGAGATAACATTAAAACGGAAGATTTATTGCCAGTCAGTCAATAAATGAATATAGCAACTGATTTCAAGTCATATAACCTATGATAATTGTAGTTAGTAGTTGGAAATCTGATGGATCCTAACCAATAATAAGTTTGCATATTTACTAATACGAATCAAACCAAATATCAGTGACTTCATGAACTGATGACTTGTCTTAGATTAACTGCTCCTGGCCTTCCTTCAGCCTACTAGCTACCATTGGATGTCACCTCAGTTGATGATGATCCACATCATTAAGTGATTTATCATCACATAGCAACAACACCCAGAAGACAAAATCCGACTCACACGTCCTCATCGTGCCTCCTGGATAATGGAACTCAGCTCCGTGGGTGGTAGAGATAAGGATAATGACCCACTCGACCGCGATATTCACAAATTGATTATGAAATCCACAAAGAATCACATCACCAATACTTCTAGATCGAAAAACAAAAAATTCACAAAAGTGGTGCATGCGAAATGTACGAGAGTTGCACTACATGGGGCAAACTCCAACCGATTATAAAAAGTCATTCTAACCCCGGTAGTTGTGCCATGCTTCGATGAGACTTGTTTCTTTCCAGAAAGGTCTACTAGGCCCCCGAATGCCCTGGTATGGCCGAGAGTGGGGTGAGTACGCTCTCCCTCTCGAAATGATCTCACATGGCCACGCGTATATAGCCTCTGTCAGGGAAGTCCTACTCACTGCCTTCTCGTCACATTACTGTTGTTTACGAAAATGAGAGGACGAAAAGCGTATGTCCGGCATTTTAACCGAATCCAAAACCAATGGTGCACATGGGCTGGCTCCAGTATCCTGTGGGAACAAATGGCGTATGAACCAATTTCTTGGTTACCGGCTTTCATGGGACTGCATCTCCTCACGATACTCCACCGCCTTGTGGATCAGACGTTCAGGTCAAAGGCTCGGGGTGTGGCTCCCTAAGAAAACCACCTGTTTTGGTCTGGGCACCCAGGCAGTATCTCAACCCTTACACAAATTAATTGAGATTCGTGTGGCGCATATGTATTTGGTGCCTTCTTGTATCAATACCTATATGTTAAAATAAATATATAAAGGTCTACTAGACTTCATCAACTTGTTTGACTGGAAGGGAGCAACAACAACAACAATATCTAAGTTTATAATAATTAGAAACAATTCAAACTATATATATTACATAACTTACTATACATCAAATCTTTTTGATAAACTTATTATTAAAATGGCATTGGAATAAATTGAATTCTCTGTATCTGTATAACCATGAAATAATAGAATAATTTCAATTGGTAATAAATCAATTGAAATGAAATGAAAACATCGTTCACCAGATTGATATAAGTTGTCAAGTTGATTATCAAAATCTAATTTGATTTGATCAAACTGAATGGGGGAAAAAGGAGAGAGACAGAGACAGAGACAGAGAAAACATGATGAAATATAAGTGAATTAAAACAAATAGGTAATTAGGGTTCGAACTTACACAACTCAATACTTTAACGATTTAACCAACCAAACCGCCCACCCACCCCCTCCTTACAAAGACTTATTGATAACAAAGGGTTATTTACTTACTTACTTATTTACGCCTGTTACTCCTAATGGAGCATAGGCCGCCAACCAGTATTCTCCAACTCACTCTGTCCTGGGCCTTCCTCTCTAGTTCCATCCAATTCTTGTTCATTTTTCTCATGTCTATCTCTATTTTCCGGCGTAATGTCTTCTTTGGTCTCCCTCTTTTCCTTTGGCCTTGAGGATTCCATGTGAGGACTTGTGACACAGTTGGGTGCTTTCCTCATTGTGTGTCCTATCCACTTCCAGCGCTTCTTCCTGATTTCTTGCCACGGTGCGATCTGGTTTGCTCTCTCCTACAGTAGGTTGTTGCTAATAGTGTCCGGCCAACGGATCCGAAGTATTTTGCGTAGACAACTGTTAATAAACACTTGTGTCTTCTGCATGATGGCCTTCGTAGTTCTCCATGTCTTGACATTTGTATTGAAAATTCTGACCTTCGTGTTGGTTGACAGTTGTCTTGAGTTCCAGATGTTCTTCAGTTGTAAATATGCTGCGCTTGCTTTTCCGATCCGCGACTTCACATCTGCATTAGATATACCGTGTTCATCAATGATGCTGCCCAAATATGTAAAGATTTTTACATCTTCCAAATCTTCTCCGTTAATTGTGATTGGATTCGTGCATGTTGTGTTGAATCGGAGAATCTTTCTTTTCCCTTTGTGTATATTGAGACCTACTGCTGCTGAGGCTGCTGCTATACTGGTAACAAAAACTGAAGGATAATTAGGAATAAAACTATTTCTCCTATCCGACTGTTTAAACCAGTATATATGCTGTAGAGTTTTATCCAGTAGTCAATCAATCACAATCAACATATAGATGGGTGTACAAACTGTCATACTAACGCAACATGATCAGATAAACTTAAAAAGGGAGTTAAAATAATGTAGTAACAGTGATAATGAGAAAGACTAAACATAGAAAATATGATACAAAGAATTACAATAAGTGAGTGAGAGGATATTGGAACTCACAAGGAAGGTACAGAATGACTGTGATAGTGAAACATGCCACTCAACAATTCTAACCAGTGAATCGCGTTACCATGCTGGTTAAAACCAAGGTTCATTAGTTAGAAGTGAGTGAACTAAATGTTAAACTGTCACACGAACATATAACCATTTTAGTTAGTAGTACGATATCGAAGAGAAATGTAATATTTACGTTTAATAGTTTACGAACATTCATCGGCGCAATAAGTACGCTTCTCATTCATAGGATAAAACTCAGTCTTCTCAGTCAGCCAGTCAGCCACAACGTAGGACCAGGCACATATATGCATCGGTCCAAGTTGTCACACCTCACTAGCACAACATGAACACCAAACTCATAAAACCAGTTACTTCAATGGTACTAATATATAAAAGAAACATTGCATATAAGAATATAGTACAGGAAGAAAGAATTAGTTTGTAGAAAGAAAGGTATAAAGTGATTTCAATCTCACGGTTTCAGGGAAGACAAAGAGTGTATACACCGACTCCATTGTGATCGATTCTGAGCCATGTCACACACAGCCTACAATCATTCGTTACGATAGTCACACGGACCCCAACCAAGTAGTCTGCATTTATCAACATGACTCAGACTACAGGTTATTGACTTCAAACACTGATGCCACGTTGTGGTTTGATCGCCCCTAACTTTCTTCCAGCCATCCCCAACACTAGCCAGTATTGCACGTCGTCGTAATCAGTGTTCGATCATACGTAACACGTGGCTCAACCATCTAAGTTGATGAAAATTCACAACCTCATCAATTTATTTACTATCATTCCCTAATACCTTGTGTCTACCCTCACTATTACTTACCTGGTGATCCCAACATATGCAAGCTACATTTCTAAGACATATATGACCAAATACTAGTAACGTATGAGTATCTTCTACTGTTAATGGCCACGTTTTACAGCCGTAAAGTAGAACAGAACGAACTGATGCATAGTATACTCGTCCCTCAATTGATAGGCGGATATCTCGCCTTCGTAAGTTGGCAAAAGCTAAACGAGCTTTCTGAATCCGTACAAAGATTTCGTCAGACGGCAACCCATTAGGACTGATCAGTCTTCTCAACAATTACAACATATAAAATGTTGAAAAGTGGATAGATTTTGATACATCTTAATCCTAACATTCAATGATGATTATTGACTGAATAATTCGTTTTGTTGCTTCAAACATCAGCCATGATGTTTATCCGATGGAAGGATAAATATAAATCCAATATTTCTTTAAACTACCTAAAAACATGCACTCGCGCGTGAGACCGATAAGTCGTGGGTTCGAATCTCGCTAGGCGGGATTGTGAATGCGCATTGCTGAGGGGTCCCAAAATAGGACGAAACGGTCGTCAAGTGTTTCCAGATTTTCCATGGTGGTCTAGCTTCAACTTATTCATGATCTCAACTATTAAAATTACTATAATATCCACAAAACCCCTTTTGACATTTGAAATAATTAGAAATGAATTATGACTAAACATAACTGATCAATATGATAATTATTACAAACCTTTTGTTTATTTAATGAGTTCAATTGATGAGGTTTTACAATTGAACATGAATTTTTAGAATTTGACAAATATAAATGATTAATTAATTGACCAAGACGTGTAATAAAACAATGAAATGATCCATTTTCATTATGATTCAATGTAGAATGATGTTGTTTAGATTGATTATTGACTATTGAATGTATACAACGATTGACAATGAGAAGTACTACAGGAGGAATCCTTTCATTAGTTGTTTGCCTTTGATGATTTGTATATCTACAATGAATAAACAGTACATGTATGTGCCAAATTTAGTTGAACATGTAAAAGTTTCATGCATTATTTTAAAAAGTACATAAACAATTCGCTCCCAGATGCCCTGGTACGGCTGAAAGTGGAAAAAGTCAGCTCTCCCTCTCGAAATGCTCTCACATAGCTACATGAATACAACAAATGCCAGGGAAATCCTACTCACTAGCTTCTCGAAGCATTACTGTTTTTTACGAAATTAGGAGGATGAAAAGCGAATGTTCGGCGCTTTAACCGGGTTGATGGGTATAGATAATCCATCTAAGGGAGTTGAAATCCCTGATTCAAAACCAATGGTGCACATACGCTCCTAGACTCTTACCGAACAAATGGTGTATGAACCAATCGTTGATCACCGACTACCATTGGACTGCACCTCCTAACGTTCCTTCATTGTCTTGTGAACTAGGTCTTTAGGTTGGAGGCCCCGGATGTGATCCCCTAAGAAAACCACCGGCTTCGGTTTGGGCACCCGGATAGTATCACAGCCTACACACAAATTAAGTGACTTATGTGGTGTATGTTTTCGGTGCCCCTTTGTACCAACATTTATGTGTTCAAGCAAATAAATAGATAAACAAGGCATTTCTGGTTAAAATATTTAATAGAATTGTAAATTAGCTTTGGATTACACCATGAAAATGTTTAGTAAGTGTTAGAAAACACTAAAGTCTGTGAAAAGTCAATCAAAATTAGACAAAAAATAGATAGCTAAATCTCTACTTTAAATTTGTTAAACAGTTCACCTAGAAGCTTACATCCTTGACGGTTGATCCCCAAGGATATTTCGAAATTCCTTCTCCGTCGTCTCAGTTTATTGGGTGAAGGGGCTAAGCTAGAGAAGAATGTGTATTCTCAACTCTTAATCTTGTTAATTTTCTCCTTCGTAGTGATGATTCGAAATGCGGCAACTTGGGCTGATACATAAACGTTTCAACTTATATGGTGTACATGACTGACTGTTTCGATTATACGCTAATGTAAAAACATTCAATTTCTCTAACTTATCTGACCCTGAGGAAATCAAGTCCAGGAGCTACAAACCTTGTATAATGACGACCAAGATATCATCTAATTATATGATTTAAATTCATTGGTTCTACCTTTCACTTTAGTCAGTTATATCTTAAGAATTATTGGTTAGTAGCTCAGTTGAATAGAATGTATTTTTATTGGGATCATGAATCGATGAATGTTAGACCACCATTGAAAACCTAGAAGTACCGGAAGGCTGTTTCGTTTTAGTATAGCACTCCTCAGCAGTGCGCACCCACGATCCTGCTCGCGGGACTCGAACTTAAGATCTTCGGTTTTGCGCGCGAACGCTTAACCACTAGACCACTGAGTTAACATCCAATGGTGTTAATATCTAACTTCAACCAATCTACGAAATTGCGTGACTATCTTTCATTTTCTGAGGTTGATACTTGTCTCTACCTGATACGGATTAACTCCACTAGATGCGCACTCCTGAAGAGTCCCATGCTGGGACAAAACGGCTGCCAAGTACTTCTAGGTTTTCAATGGTGGTCTAACATTCATCGATTCATGATCTCAATCAAAAACTTAACAATCTCCACAATCCCACACTGATAAAAAGGTAAAGTTGCAGAAATCTTAAGAAGCCAATCATTAAGCATCTAAAACTACCTACATATTTTCTAAGATTTACTTACTCATGTTGAAATGGTGATTCTAAAGCAGAACGAATTTGAGCCCAAAGACGTTTATGTTGACCTTGAAATTCTTGAGATAACTGATTGGTTAGATTTTGTGTTCTGAGTTTTTGTACAGATGTTAAAGATTGTTCATGAACAGAAGGAGATGATTGTGATTTAAGTGAAATGAACACTAAAATGAAGATTTTTATATATTTATAAAAAGCTATTGAATATTCATAAATGTTAAATCACTTTTGAGAAAAAGCTAATGTTGTATTACATATCAGTCAGTCAACAACGTAGAACTTGGTACGTACGTACATCAGTTCGAGTTGCCACATCACATTACCACAGACATGCAGTTGTCGATTCAAATCCCATAGTGGTAGAAGTAGTAAAAGTATAAGCAGTAATCGGGAAGATTGGGTTCTGAAGATGTTATTTAAGGAGTATAATCCAGTGAAACAAATTTGGAAAAAGAAAAAATAAGGGACATGAAGAATTCAGAAGATTAGAGTTTGAGAGAACACAGAGAGTGGATGCACCTGCACACACTATTGCAAACGATTTTGAGCCATGTTATTCAAGGTCTCTAACCATCGGTTGCTATCATCTCGCGGTCCCCAACCAGATAGTCTACACTTACCAACATGACTCAGTCCACTTGTCAGTGACTTCATGGATTTGTGCCATGTTTTGATCAGGCCACCCCTAGCTTTTTTACAAATCACTCCTACACCATAAATCATCGCACGTCGGGGCAGTCAGTGGTTGGGCATACGTAACACGTGTCCCAGCCATCTCAACTGACGAAGTTCCACTACTTCATCAATTGATTTGCCATCCTGACCTAGTACCCGTTCCCTAACAACTGTATTACTTATTTGTTGGTCCCAGGATATATGGGCAATGTTTCGTAGACACCTATAATCGAATACTAGTAACCTACGAATATCCTCTACTCTTACTAGCCATGTTTCACAGCCATAAAGTAGAACGGAACGAACTGCTGTATAGTAAACCCGTCCTTTTGTTGGTAGACAGATATCTTGCCTACGCCGTAAATGACGGAAGTTGGCAAAAGCTAGTCGAGCTTTCTTTATCCGTGCTGACATTTCGTCACACACCAGACCACAAGGGCTGATGAGACTTCCAAGATAAGTAAAACGGTCGACACACTTAACTACTTCACTCCCTATCATTAGTTCAGGTGTCTATGCAATTCAATCCTGAAGCAACAATTTGCATTTCATGGGGGAGAATCGCATCTTGAACATACTTGAATTGTTGCCTAGATATAAATATAAATAATAATATATAAATGATAACAAATATAAATATACATAAAAACAAATACGAGTATCAGTTTCATAAGATTCAGAGTTAATGTCAACAAAAAACTAGGTTAATGTATTATTACATATCAGAAAGGGGGTTTTTGTGGATACTATAGTAAAATTTAATAGTTGAGATCATGATTCAATTGAAGGTCCTGGGTCCGAATATCGCGAGGCGGGATTATGCGACCATTTTCCATTGTCTAAGGTGTATACCTGTCTCTATCCGACACAGATTAACTCCACTGGATGCGCGCTGCTGAGGAGCCCCGGAATACAACGAAATAGTCATCCAGTGCTTCCAGGTTTTCCATGATGGTCTAGCTTTAATCAACTCATGATCTTAACTATTAAAGTATTATTGAATGTTGGAAAAAGTATAGTTTAAAAACGAGCCAATAATCATGAAAGAGGAAATCACTGTTGGGTTTTTGAGTGAAATTATAATATGAATGACTCTTATCTTATCATACCATATCTAACAAACAGTAAAAATGGCTTTTTCTAGTGCTCAGGACGTTTAAAATGATAAAACATGTTAAATGTTCAATTAATTCTATGCAAACTATATATAACAGGCAAATCTCTAAATTCTAATCCTGAAAGAAACCTTAATATGGTGGTACCATGCTTTATAGACGAAATAAACAGATTTCAGATAAGGTCTCTTGAGATTTTGAGTGTAATGTATTCATTCATATGGTTACAAACTCCTTTCGTTTGATAGCTGGTGTCAGCTCGTGATGAAAACCTTAACTCTAAATTCTTGATATAAACCTCTCACCGCTTTAATGAATTCAGTTTTCATTATTTCATTGTTTAGCATATTATTTCACTCTGTCAGTTATAAATTCCTTCTCTTCATTCTTATATCGTTTTTAGAGCTTTACTCATTTTTTTTGTTGATCCGTGGTTTTCTTAGGGGGCCATATCCGGAGCCTTCGACCTCAAGGTCTGATTCATAAGGCAATGGAGCAACGTCAAGAGATGCCATCCCATGGTAACCAGTGAACAACAATAAGTCTATACTCCATTTGCTCTTTCAGGATACTGGAGCCAATGTGCACCATTGGTTTCGAATCAGGGATCCTCCATATCCACAAACCCGGTTATAGCACCGGATATTCACATTTCATCCTCTCAATTTCGTAAACAACAATAATACTTTGAGAAGGCAGTGAGTAGGACTTCGCTGGATGTGCCTGTATACGCGTGGTCATGTGAGATCATTTCGAGGAGAGCGAACTCTCCCCACCCTCGACCGTACCAGGGCATTCGGGGGCGGATGTTTTAAGAGTATCTACGAAATAAATCAGTTAAGAAAGTTGTAGGATAATAGCTAAATGAAATAAAATGAAGTTGTTAAAAATGGAATTTATGTCATTTTTAATATGATTTGATTATTTGAATGCATGTAAAGCATATTCGACTAAGTTCTCCTGGTACGGCCAAGAGTGAGGAGAGTCAGCTCTCTCTCTCTCTCTCGAAATGCTCTCACATAGCCACGTGGATACAACAAATGCTAGGGAAGTTCTACTCACTACCTTCTCACGGCACTACTGTTGTTTACGAAATCCAGAGGATGAAAAGTGAATGTTCAGCACTTTAATCGGGTTGGTGGACACGGAGAGTTCACCTAGGAAAATTGGAAAACACTGATTCCAAATCAATGATGCACATTGGCTCCAGTATTCTGAAAGAACAAATGGAGTATGAACCAATCGTTGGTCACCGACTACCATGGGACTGGATCTCCTTACGCTACTCCACTGCCTTGTGAATTAGACTTTTAGGTCAAAGGCTCGGGGGTGTGGCTCCCTAAGAAAACCACCTGTTTCGGTTTGGGCATCCCTGGGCAGTATCCCAGTCTTCACATAAATCAAATGATTTATATAGCGTATATCTGTTTGGTTCCTTCCTTGTATCAATATTTTTATGTGTTTAAATAAATAAATAAATAAAATTTTAAACAAACAAGTCAAATGAACTCTTATAAAGTAAATTATAACTTACTTGGATACATGTAAAATAGAATTGATGCAATACAGATAACAATTGATAATAATCCAATATAAATATATGTACATTTTTTCATTGAAACTTCATTATTACCATCATCTGAACTTATACTATTATCATCATCATCTTCTTCTTCACGTATATATACATTTTCCATAAATCGTATAACAGATGATGAACCATTATAATGATCTGAATGTCTCATACATTCAAGTTGTGTTATACTATTATTATTTGGAGAATTTTTTAATATATTTGAATCAAATATCAAGGAACTACTGTTCGAATCTGAATTCTGATAGAAATCACCATCATCATCATGATCATCATCATCATTAATTGAAGTATAATGACGATATTTTAATTCATTATCTAATGGAAATTCTTTTGATATTCTCAATTGTTGTTCAGGTGATAATGATAATAATGAAGACTGGGATGAATACTAAAATTAAATTGAAATATATGTATGTACAGACAGACATAAGAATAAAAAAAGATTGGATAGAACTAGGAATGCCCTGGTACGGTCGAGAGTGAGGAGAGTTCGCTCTCCCTCTCGAAATACTTTCACATCGCCATGCGTATATAGCCTCTGTCAGGGAAGTCCTACTCACTTCCTTCTTGTGTCACTACTGTTGTTTACGGAAATGAGAGGACGAAAAGCGTATGTCCGGCATTTTAACAGGATCCCAAATCAATGGTGCACATGGGGTGGCTTCAGTATCCTGAAGGAACAAATGGTGTATGAACTAATCGTTGGTCACCGGTTACCATGGGACTGCATCCCCTCACGATGCTCCACTGTCTTATGGATCAGATCTTCAGGTCGAAGGTGTGGCCCCCTAAGAAAACCACCTGCTTTGGTTTGGGCACCTGGGCAGTATCACAGCCCTCATACATATCAAATTAGGTCTGTGTAGCGCATATGTATTTGGTGCCTCCTTGTACCAATATCTATGTGTTAAAATAAAATAAATAAAAAGAAAGGAAGGCTCAGGACAAAGTGGATTGGAGAATGCTGGTCGCTGGCCTATGCATACATAACAATGGATTGTTTCATCTCCCCTGGCAGGTCAAGCAACCTGACAATCACGAGAATACCGTCCGAGCATTCGACAAACTAGGTACTCAACAGAACATCTCAACTCTCTGCTCACAAACTTTACTGGTGACCTAAATGTTATATACTTTATGACCAATAAAAAAGGCTTCAGCGAACGACTTAGAGTTTAGCGAATCATACGATTTTATCAACACATTAATCTTTCAGAAAGCACAACAGTAAGTACAAATGAATGTGTATTGAATAACTGGGTACATATATATTTACAAATGTTTTTTAAAGTTAGAATCGAATCTTTTGTACAGGAATGCATGAATAGGAAACAACTACTCCGAAGAATGATCTATATCAACAGGTAAACAAGAAGTCAGCTTTAACGATCGATCATTAATAAGACCAGTAAGAAAATCGAATGTATTCAGTGCAGATATCTTTCGACCTTTAGTATAACAAGACTGTGGTTGGTGGACATCGATTGATTGAATTTGTTCGTCGATTTTATTAATTGATGCTTCATAAGCTGTAACATCATCGTTCAAATCCACCAACTCATATTTGACATCACAGTTGGAATCGTCAAAATTCCCATGGCTTTTTAGTAACTCCTACCAAAAAAAAACAAATAGGTGACAAGTTAAAAACTAAATATATACAGCACCAAAATATTTAATAATATCAAAAACAGTAAAAGATAGTTAACCATAGCTTGATATCAACGGAAAAACACTGAATACCGAATAGTACTGGACAATTAATTCTTGATCTCAAACTTTTCAGCATACTACACCAAGATCAAACAAAACCTTCGTGTTTATCTACGTTATCACGTTTATCTACTGTCTTTACCTAAAATAAATGATAAAAAACCATACTAGCTCCACTAGGTATTTGGGTATGAGTCATATTCAAGTATGAGGGATAGTGGTACTAGCCAGTGACCAAAAGAGAAGGAAACACTTCTGTAATTTCGTTGAACGCTAGGGATTATTTGCAGCAAAGTAATGTAAAAAAAACTAACACACAGTATACTTGCACTAATTAGAAAGCGAACACGCTGTACAATAACCAAAAGATATCAGTATATCTGTGCCAAGATAGCAGCCAGCCTACCACGAAAACGAATATTGAATATTCCTGCGTCTCATTTGATTATTTATTTATTTTAACACATAAGTATAGGTACAGGGAGGCACCAAATACATATGCACCACACGAATCTCAATTGATTTGTGTGAGGGCTGTGATACTGTTCGGATGCCCAAACCGAAGCAGGTGGTTTTCTTAGGGGGCCACACCTCGAGCCTTCGACCTGGACGTCTGACCCACAAGGCAGTGGAGCGTCGTGAGGAGATGCAGTCCCATGGTAGCCAGCCGGTGACCAACGATTGGTTCATACGCCATTCGTTCCTTCAGGATACTGGAGCCAGCCCATGTGCACCATTGATTTGGGATCCGGTTAAAGCACCGGACATTCGCTTTTCGTCCTCTCATTTTTGTTAACAACACCCCCGCCACGAGAAGGCAGTGAGTAGGACTTCCCTGGCAGAGGCTATATAAGCATGGCCATGTGAGAGCATTTCGAGAGGGAGAGCGGACTCTCCCCACTCTCGGCCGTACCAGGGCATTTGGGGGCCTGCGTCACTATTCAAGGCATTCAAGAGATTGTTTTTATCAGCGTCTTTGCAAAGTAGGATTGTCATCTGAATACTCTCAATCAACAAGTTGAAACTGGATTAGATGAACCATCTTTTACATCCACTGGTTCAATGCAATATCCAGGAACATCTAGTTGTATTTTTCAGAAACGAAGTTGTCGCATTCTGAATCTTTACATTAATTACTTGCAGGTAAATTTCCCAGACTAGGATCATCTGCCAAAATTTTTCTATTGCACCTCTACTCTAAAACAGCAATGTCACCAGAATAGCCTTTCGATACTACACATGTTTCAGTCCGCCCTAGCAACTATGAATATCTGGGTAACGACCTTTGCCCTGCATTACTATAAATCTTGAGACAATTGTCTTCTCGAATGAGTGCCTAAACATTGATTCAAGCAGCCTAACTTTATATCTCTGTCAATTACATGTAACATAGATTTTTAGATCAACATGATTATGCTTGTAAATTGGTAGATATTTATTTCTAGAACAGAACCTACTTATCATAACATGAAACGATTGTAAATACTATTAGCATAACTGATGTGAAAAAAACTTCTAATTTTGTCAGCACTAATATTTTAACCATAGAAATATTATATAAATAACGCAAATGTGTTAGCTGGACAACCGAATAAGAGTAGCCTGCAGATCAAAGAACTCATGACAAAACGATGTAGCTTAATTTTCAAGCACAGATATATGCACTATACTACGGGTTATATTTTAGTTGCATGAAATATGATGTCACTACCGGGCCGTCTGAGCTGAAGTAGAAGGGGTTTCGAGACCGTCGAAAGTTCAATGCTCAGATTTGATCGAAGAAATGATGACGTGTAGATTTTGTACAGGAGATTATGACACAATATAAAAACACCGCCTCGAGTAATTTCCTCCAAATCTTATGAAATTTTAAGCAGTGGGATCAAAATATTATATGACAGAATAGATTCACTACAAGACGTCTATGTTTCCCTGGTGAGCTGGCTAACAAAAACTATGTTCTTGTGATTCTCCTTGAAACAGTGACGAATATTACCCGAACAATATAACTTACTTCTTCTGCAGACATATATGTCATACAATCTTCTTCACAAAATTCGTCGTCGTTTGGATTAGCAAGGGTGTTCAGAGCCAATAGTTCCATTTTCATGCGGTTATCCAGATCATGAATTTCGAGCAAAGCTGATTCTAAGAGTTTTATTCTATGAGCAACCTGATGGTTTAGAAACCTAGCGACTGATTTCTTAATTTTGACCGACATTAACGAGCACGGCAAAAACGTTAGATCCTTTCAAAACCGCCCGCCGTTTCGTCTAAACGACCTTGTGCGACAAGAAGCTATCCTGTAGCTCATAATTTAACCTTCGCACAGAGATCCTAGGCTCAATTGCAAATTTCAATCCTCATTAAACATAAATAGTGAACCTGATGTTTTCTGAGTTATGTGTTTTGATTTCAAAACAGAATTAAGGGTTACGTAAGGTTTTCTTTACCGATGCTCTAAAACAACTGAAAATGCGATTATTTATATCACGAGTCTTCAAGGAATGACAGTTAAGTTATCCCCTTAAGTGGCAATAGAACTAAAAAAATATTAAACCTTATGATTCAGCGATAAGAGGAAGATCGTACTGTTGTTTACTTTAGTACTACATTCCGAGTTTCTTTTGATCTCTTCGTATTCTCCCTTAAAGAGGTGATTGTTGTGGTAGTTATGAACGATATTGTACAACATTAAATATATCTAAAGTATTTATGACAATCTTTTATCAGTAGACCGATTCCTCTGTCCTCCTTTCTGTTCTTTTGGTACGTTTTCACGTCTCTGGTAACCCGTAATAAGCAGTATTCGATCTTACTTATTTTACTATCAGTAAGGGGCTGTAAAGATTATCAAATATCACTGAGGTCATGAAAAGATCCACTTTAGACTACCATTAAAAACTCATGAGAACCAGAAGGCCGTTACGTCTGAGTGTAGGAATCCTCCTCAGCAGTGTGCAGAATTTAATCTTAGGACCTTAGGTTTTGAGGGAGAACACTCCACTTTCAGACCACTGAGTCGGCATCAACATTCTCCACAACCACTTGCTGACAATTATCTTGTGCTAACTAGTAACTGGCTTTGAGAGGAAATTTCGAGAAACTCGGTGAGAAGCCGTGACTTGTAAAGCTAAAATGAGTAGAGTGGGAGGCGGTTACCCACCGAAGACAATGAAAGGTGGTTGTGGAATATTGTGAATTAGATAATAATACCATTGGATCATGAGTCAGTGGTCAAGAAGCGAAGCGTTCATGTGCGAGACCAAAGGTTCTGAGTTTGATTCCCTTGTGATGGGCCATGGATGAACACTGTCAGAAGCACGTACCAGGCCAAACGACGGTCCAGTATTTCCAGGTTTTCAACAGTGATCTATCTTCAATTAGTTCACCATCTTAACATAGTTGTACTTAGCTTAGTAATTATTTGTGGGATTGAAAACTGAGTGATCACGTTCATTTCATATCATTAAGAAACAATATGCACATCGTTACCGGAAAGGAGACTGCTTAGATGCATCGTGAAAAATCTAGGACGGTAAAAACGTTCTCGTGTACAGGCCAAATATCAGAAAGCAGTTGAAGGTTGTAGCCAAGATGTATTTCTCGACGATCTCATGGTATCGAAATAATACCGAAATCGTTCCAAAATCCGCAAGCAAAACTACTGAGCGTACGAGAGTCCATAAAAGATCACAGACAACGGAAGAGAGTGTTTTTTGGTACGCCTAAACAAATAGGTACAGTTGGTAATAATAATAATTGCTTCGATTGCACCAATCTCGTTCTCTTCATAAGAGTATGCCACTACAGGAGTCCTCCGCTAGAAAGTGGTTACACTTTCCATGCGTACCGATTTCGCTCGTGGGACTGATCGGCAAACGTGGTATTGTAGGACGAAGGGGTCTGCAAAATAGAAAGCAATCGTTGATCCACGAGTTGCCACCCAAGGTCTTTTAAGTAAGATGGTGCCAGGAGTAACATGCTATGTTTGCTGCTCGAGTTAGTGTACCACACCAAGAGTGTATTGTGTTCAGAATCTGAGGATTGCGTTCGTAGGGGTTCGGACCGGAAAGCGTTGCAGATGTAGGATGGAACCAAATTGAGCCAAGAAACCAGAAGCGACCATAACAACCAGGTTCGAGACCATACGTGTACCATACACATCCGAAGCCAGAACATCGACTGAGTGCGTTAACAAGATCGTGGGTGACCAGGCCAGCTTTCGCCAAATTTGATTGAAGTCGACGGCATCAAACGGGCGATGGTCGGATGCGTGGGCTCAGGATACCAAAAAATCGAAGAAAAAAAGAGTGGTGTAGCATGCATGTAGTATAGGGATAGAGTTTTATACCGTATCCGATGTTGATTGAAAGGTTGGTCTGAAAAGTCTACGGGTATGTGTACTCGGCGACCGGAACGTCAGATGGTAGTCTCGTTCGTACCTAGTGAGACTTCAATCTCATTTGAAGTCAAGGGCGGTGTTGTCTGCTTATCTGAATGTAAGACCGAAGTCTCGTCCGTAGATGGTGCAGATGACACTTGCTGTCTACTGGGACGTGGGAAAGAGGTCTCTGATGTATCTGGTGTGGGGCCCGAAGTAGGTGTCGGCATCCCGCTGGTGGGTTTGATGGGTCTAGCATTGAGTCTCGACTTATCAGGTAGGGCACTGCCACCGATGTGTACTGGTTTGAGACGATCAATGCTGACGGTCTCGACGCGGCCATGTCGGTCAACCTCGAAAGTCTTTTCGTGGTGGGAAATCACGTGAAAAGGTCCTTCATAAGGCTGTTGCAAACGTTTGCGTACCGAATCTAATCGTATGAAAACATGTGAACAGGTATATAACTCTCGAGGGAGAGCGAACTGTCGATGTCGTGTTAGAGTTGGCTCCGGAAGCAGCGTTCACACAAACCAGACAATCGTTGGTGCTGAAAATTTCCCAAGCAGACGTAGTGTCGTGCCGCATACAAGTTCAGCGGTAGAACATTGAATATCTGCCTTTAGGCTCGTCTTGCTACCTAAGAGGACGAGTGGTAAGGTTTCGTACCAATTGTTGTTTTAGAAGAGCACTCTTAAACTGGCGATGAAACCGTTCAACTAAACCATTTGATGCTGGGTGGTAGGCAGTAGTGAATATGCGTTCCGTACCGAGCAGCTGAGTCAGCGAGGAAAATAATCCTGACTCGAATTGTTGTCCCCGGTCAGTCGTGACAGTCAAAGACAACCGCACAGCGCTATCCATCGTTCTACAAAGCGGTAAACGACTGTCTCCGCCGTAATAGACGTGATGGGAATAGCTTCCGGCCATGCTATGAAACGATCGATGCACGTGCGATGGTAGCTATGATCCTTCAATGTCTATATGAACGTGATCAAAGCGAGAATCAGGCGTGGCGAACGTGCCAATCGGGAGAGCTACATGCCTACGCACTTTTGATCGTTAACATTGTGAGCATTGCTATACCCACATACGGACATCTTTATTCATGGACTGCCAGAAGTATCGTGCAGCGGTGAGGCATAATGTGGCTGCGATACTTGTATGAGACAGTCCATGCAGGGCATCGAAGATGAGACGATGGCAAGCGGAGGGTACGATGGGTCGGGGAAGACCAGTAGAAGTATCACACAGGATAGTACCTGGGTTAGAAGCAAGGGGTACTTCCCGACAATGAAGGGATGTAGAGTGTTTTGCCCCCGTGCAGGAGTGATCGCTTGCTTGGGCGGCAGCCATGGAAGAAAGATCGAGCACAGGTAAAATAACTGCATTCACTTAAATATGTGATAGAGCATTCACAACATAGTTCGGCTCGCCCTTAACGTGAAGAAGGTCTGTCGTGAACTGGGAGATATAGTCCAGATGTCCGTACTCTCGTGGTAAGTAGCGGTCAGACTTGGTATTCAGAGCATACGTGAAGGGCCTATAGTCGGTGAATACGATGAAATGGCGACATTCTACTGCGTGCCGGAAGTGTTTGATGGCACAGTAGGCTGCCAGCAATTCTCAACCAAAAGTGTTTACGTGGATTACCGCGAGGTAAGTCGGTTAGTGGTCTTAACCGTTCTGCCGAGTGTGGGATGAAACCTCTGTAGAGCTTAGCCGAACCGAGAAATGCCTTTAGTTCTTTGAGTGTGGACGGTACGGAGTACTCCATTATTGCACGTACTCTGTCCTCACAAGGTCGAATACCCTCTTGCTTAATAGTGTGACCTATGAATTTTATTTCCGGTTTGCCAAGTTCCCACTTGTCCGGATTGACTGTAATCACGTTATCCGAAAAGCACTGGAATAGGAGTGTTGGATTCTGATAATGTCCGTCTACGTTTGATGATGCGACATATGGATCATCAATATAGACGTGAAGAAAATGTAAGTCTCATACTATGCTATCGATAAAACTTTGGAAAGTTTGAGCAGCAGTCCGTAATCCAAATGGCATTCGTAGGAACTCGAATAGACCGAAAGTAGTCGTGATAGCGGTTTTCTCGATGTCTTCAAGAGCGACTGGGATCTGATGATGTGCTCGTACCAGATCAATCTTAGAGAAAATTGTCGTGCCCTTGAGTGATGCCGTGATGTCGTGTATGAGGGGAACGGGGTAGCTATAAAAACGTGCAGCTTTATTTAATTCTCGGTAGTCGCCGCATGATTTCCAACTAACTCCATCCTTTTCGCGAACCATGTGAAGAGGTGAGGCCCAGAGACTGTGAGAAGGACTCATAATACCAGTAGCTAGTAAATTGTCAAACTCACGTTTAGCGAAAGCTAATTTATCTAGTGCCAGTCGGTGGGGTTTCGCCATGACTGGAAGTTCGCGGTTGACTTTGTGGTATACCACACGATTAGTTACCGAGGGGATCTCTTCGAGGGGTTTAGTTATTTGGGGGAATATATCGTCACGCAAATGAAATACGTCTAAGATTCGGTACGCGTTTATCTGAGCTTCAATGCCACTAAATTTTCTGTTCGACGAACTACTGATTAGCTGCAGCCTACGTGAATCGACCAGCAATTCATAGCGCTGTAGGAAATCAATGCCGAGTATGGCTTTGGGAACGTCGCCATTGATGAACGTCCGCAGATACTGTCGTCGGTTGCTCAGGTTGACCGTAAGCTGTCGTGTAGCATGGGTAGGAATGATTGAGCCATTCGCAGCGCGTAGTCGAGGCATTGTAGCTTGAGACTTACTGTTATCGATCGGTACGACAGAAACTTGG